CTGATCTGATTACTATACATTATATGTATCAAAACATCACCATGTACCCCATAAATATGTATAATTATTTTATGTCAATTAAAAAAATAAAAATACATAAAAAATTTTTTAGAAATGAATAATAAACAAACCAAAAAACCCTGAAAGGGCCTGAACTCTGATAGTTTTAAAACTCAGTTATATCCAATCAGATAATTTCTGTTAAACTTTTACTTTAAATTTGAAGCTAAACTACATTTAGAAATTTGTACTTTGAATTCTTGTGTGTGTAAAGTAAATTTGGTTGGCTATTGGCAAATGGATTGGGTAGCTACTTAATAAAACATTTTCTTCTAGGGCTTTAGCTTTCCAGTTCTTAGAAAATGTGTTTAACATAATCTGCATTATCACTGTTGAAAGTAACTAGTTGTTCTATTTACGCTAAATTGATAATATGAGTTTGGGAGCTATCAGTCTTTTCTATGGCCTGGAATAATTTAAATAATAAAAATTATCTGATTAGTTAGAAATCATTTATGAAATCATCAGGATTTGAAGCTCTTAAATTTTCCTTTGACATTTGCTTGTTATCATTAATGGTAATGTAGTAAGTTGACATAATAGAAATTTTCAATGTACGTTAGGAAGGGCATTCAGTGGTAAAGTAAGACTCCTGCTTACTCCCAACTTTCAGTTTGTCCTTTTCCTCCTGAGTCAAGTGCTACTACTGGTACAAGTACTGGTTTCTTATGGATGTTTCTAGAACTAGCCTCTGTATCTATTGTCTGTTTAAAATAACTCATTGATCCCCTTTTAAAGCTGTTTTATGCTTATGGATCTACGTAGTTTTTCTGTTTCCCTTTAAAATTTTTGATTGTGGTAAAACATACATAACATAAAATTTACCATCTTAACCATTTTTAAGTGTACAGTTTAGTAGTGCTAAGTATAATTCACATTGTTGTGCAACCAATCTCCAAAATTTTTTTATCTTGCAAAACTAAAACTATACCCATTAAACAAGTCCCTACTCTCCCCTACCCGTAACTCCTGACAACCACCCTTCTGCTTTCTGTCTCTATAGATTTGACTATTCTGGGTACCTCCTATAAGTGAAATCATACAGTATTTGTCTTTTTGTGACTGGCTTATTTCACTTAGCATAATGTCCTCAAAGTTCATTCATGTTGTAGCATGTCAGAATTTTCTTCCTTTTTAAGGCTGAATAATATTCTGTTATATGTATATACCAACATTTTATTTATCCAAATTTATCTGCCAGTGAATGTTGGGGTTGCTTCCACTTTCTGGCTGTTGTGAGTAAAGGTGTTATGCACATAGGTGTACAAATAACTTCGAGACTCTGCTTTCAGTTCTTTTAGATATATATCCAAAAGTAGAATTATATGGATTCATAGGATCATATGCTAATTCTATTTTTTAATTTTTTGAAGAATTTCTGTCTTTTTAAAAGTCACTTTGATAGTTTGTTCTTTGCTAGGAAATATATTTTTCAGTTTTATCAGCACCAGAGTTGTATATAATATCTA